TGAGAAGCAAGGCGGTGACTGGGGTTTGTGTAGAGCCCACCCATCTTACCCCACTTCTGTTGCCTTCTTGCTCACCCCCTGTTCCCTCGCCCGTCCCGCCCGGCCCCCTCTCCGCTCCCTCCCCTCCCCGTTCTCGCCCCTCCCCTCCCCTACCCCTCTCAGCCGATGCTGTAGACATGATGCAGAAGTCCAAATTCTGTCTGGCCCCCATGGGGGCGGGCTGGGGCATCCGACTCACCGAGGCCATGGTCACCGGCTGCGTGCCAGTCGTCATCCAGGACCACGTGTATCAGGTAGGCACGAGGGGGGGCTGGGCACGGGAGGAGACGTGGCAGGCGAGCGTGAGCTGAGGCATGGGGTTGCGGCGGGGTTGCAGCTGTGTGGTTTCGTGGTATATCAACGGTATTCACACCGGCCCCACCTGCTCCGCCCGGACTGACCCCTCACGCAGCCTCTGTGGGACGTGGTTCCGTTTGAGGAGTTTTCGCTGCGCTTCTCCCGCCATGACGTGTCGGATCTGGTGGAGCACCTGGACGACGTGACGCCCGAGCAGCTGGCTCGGCTTCAGGTGGGCGGGGGCGGGAGGGGTGTCAGGAGATGGGGTTAGTGGTGGGGCTGCCGGAAAGAAAGCGCAGCGAGGGAACGGAGGCGAAGGGGTACCGTCGTGGGCGGGTGGGGGCTGGGTGGGGGGGTTTGCGAAGCTTTGGGGCGGGGACTTTGGGGGGATCGGTCGGTTTTGGGGTGTGCGGGGGCGCGGGCTACCATGCGGGAGCTGTGTTGTGGCCAAGCTTCCCGCCTCCGTTGGTAACGCCGCTCAAGTCTCAAGTGTTGTACCTGATTTGCAGCACCGCTGCCGGTACTGTCGCCACCGCTGCGCTGCCGCGGCCCGTCCCTGCCCTGATGGGGCGGGCATCAGATCGCCCATCGCTTTGGCCTCGCCCACCCAGGCCCACCGCCTTGTCTTCCTTGTCTTGCCTTGCCTCGCCTCGTTTTGCCCACCTCACGTCTTCTTTGCTCCCTTGGCGTCTCCCGCCGCTCTGCTCCGCTGCCGCGCTGCAGGCCGGCGTCGAGAAGTACCACAGGTTGGGGTGGGGTGGGGTTGGGTGGGTTGGCTGGTTGGACGCTTGGCGCGACACGGCGGTGAACGGCGGCGCTGTGTTGTGTGCTGATGCGCCTGTGACCATTACCCGTCATACGCTGCCTCCCTCCCGCACGCCAAAAGGAAACCTACCCACCATCGAACCTCTGAACCTACCGTACCGTATGCGACTGCGACTGAACCCCGCCAACCAGCCGCCTGCTTGCCCCTCCCTGCTCTTCCCTTGCCGCCCCGTCCGCAGGGCATTCATGTGGGATGCCCACTACGGCGGCCTGGCATACAACTACACCATCACCGCCCTCAGGCGGCGCGCCATGAACCTGTGGAGCGAGCACTTCCGCCGCCACCACCACCACCGGCGCAGCGAACGCAGGCATCACCTGCGTAGCAGCCTCTGAGAGGGGCCGCCCGCCGCTGCCCAGCTGCGCAGTCGGGCTGTGAGGGAAGCTGTGGGTAGGGCAGCAGGTGCGCAGTCCACGCACAACGGGGGCGGCCGCGGGGCTTTTGGGCCACTTGGGGAGGAGCTCCCCGAGGGGGGAAGGGCCCGCAACGGTGTGCTGGAGCCGCGCCTCGCCCGCTGGGAGCCAGGGGCAAGTCCCCCTCTTGAGGAGTTGAGCCAAATGTGGCGCTGAGGCGAGAGAGATGAGTGAAGTGGCAGGAGGAGCGGCGTGTGTGGACCGGCGCATCCTGACTGCGCGTTTGAGCCTGCAAAGATTACCATGCGTGATGTCGATCGACGTCTGGCGTCTGGCGTTGAAGAACGGGACGGGAGGGGATGTTTTCTTTGCTCAAGGTAGGGCCGTAGACGCCGCGCCGTGGGGAGATGTGGGAACACGTTGGACTATGGGGGAGCTGGCGGATTTAATCCGGAGGGACTTGAAAGCCCGAGCCGGGAGCGCCGGCTATCTGCCGAATTTGTACATATTTTTGGGGCTTGAGAGGTTAATGGAGTCGGGGCGATGTGGGGGCGCTTGTTGGGTGTCTGCTGACCTCCAAGGGGTAATCCGGGTGTGCAGGAGCGGGAATAGTGATCGCGAACACGGATTCTGGCGGAACGTGCGTGTGCATTGCTCTCATGGTGAATTGGGGTTTTTGTATACGGAGGGAAAACTTGGGGGGCTGTGGGGACCCTGGCTGAGGAGCAAGGGTACTCTTAGGGTGCGGCGTGCGGGACACGGTTGATGTAGGCAAGCGAGCGGCGCATAATGGTGAGCCGTTTTATCAGAGAAACCCACGTTCGCACCTAAAGGGGGCGCAGCGACTCTTTAGTTGGCGACGTAATCCTCGTCGCGACATGCCGTACATATATTTGACAACTTTTGCAAACATCACACGTTCGCGTCAAGGTGTTCGGATGTGTCCAAACTGAATCCTTGCGTCTACGTCAGCTGCAAGAGTCCACGTCTCTTAAACAGTGGCGCGTCAAATAAACCCTTGTTCATTAGGTGACCCAGCTTCTATTCTTTCATTATACAGCGTGTAAAATTGACGTCGACTTTAGTGACCTGCTCGCGCTCGTCTACTCTCGGTGTTGGTGCTTAATGGTGGACCACCGGCTACGCATCTCACCCGAGGTGCAAGCCGCGCTAGCCGACGGCCAGCCTGTAATTGCGTTAGAAAGCACTATTATCACCCACGGCATGCCGTGGCCCGACAACCTGTCGACCGCTCTGGAGGTTGAGGACGTGGTGCGCGCATCGGGCGCGGTGCCCGCGACAATTGCCATCATCAGCGGCGTGCCGCACATAGGCATGCAGCGCGAGCAGCTGGAGTACATCGCACGCAAGGGCACCGCCGTACAAAAGGTCTCCCGGCGCGACCTGCCGGTCGTCATGGCGAAGCAGCTGGATGGAGCCACGACCGTTTCCGCCACCTCAGCCCTAGCCGCCTTGGCCGGAATACCCGTCTTCGTCACAGGAGGCATCGGCGGCGTGCACCGCGGCGGCGAGGTTACCATGGACATCAGCGCGGACCTCACAGAGCTGGGCCGCACGCCCATCGCGGTCGTCTGCGCTGGCGCCAAGTCAATCCTAGACATCCCGCGCACTCTGGAAGTGCTGGAGACATGGGTGAGTGTAGCACCCTACCCAGTAGCTCACGCGGTTCAATCGGTTCGTGGGACCCGTGGGTCGCGGCGCGAGATGTAGAAGATGTCGCACGTGCGTTGCTCCTTTTCCTGCGCGCGTCGGCACCTTACACCGCGGCCCTGGCTTGGACATCTTCCTGGTTCTCGACTGCAGGGCGTTGCGGTGGCATCGTACGGCACGGACGAGTTCCCCGCCTTCTTCACCCCGCACAGCGGCTGTCGATCCCCCGCTCGAGTGGACTCCCCAGCCGAGTAAGTGTTCTGGGGTCCCTGCCCCTCCTTCGGGTCGAGCCAGCCCTTCTAGGGGAGGGCAAAGGGGGGCAGGCCGATGTCCGGATTTCCGGAGGCGGCGGGAAGGTGGCCAACGCACTCGGGCCAGCCTGGGGCGGAGAGTACCATGTTGAGGTCCCCCGAAATGTACGGCAAGGACCGCACGCCGTTGTTCCTATGTCTCTCACCCCCCACTCGTGCTAACTCCCACACGGCATTCGTTCTCGCCACTCCTTCCCTGGCTCTCTTTGCGCCCCTCTCTCCTCCCCAAGGGCCGCCGCCATGCTGGGCTCAGTGCAGCGGCTAGGTCTGGGCAGCGGCATGCTAGTGGCGGTGCCCATCCCCGCGGACCAGGCGGCGGAGGGCGAGGAGGTAGAGGGAGCCATTCGGACGGCGCTGCGGGAGGCGGACAGCAAGGGCATACGAGGCAACGAGGTGGGCGGTTGGTGGCTCTGCGTTCCCCGGCGGGGCGGGGGCGAGCGGGGCTGTGCGGGGTAGGAGGGACGAACCTCAGGGAGGGAAGGACGTAACCGCAGGGAGGTTGGAGCACTGTGGGGTGTTGAAGCGCGGATGGGGCCCTCTTCGGCGGCGCCGGGGAGGATTGGAAGCTTGGAATCGAGCGGCGAGGTGCCGTGCCATTGAACGGATTAAAGCAGGAACGAGCAGAAAGCTTGGCGATCGGGCAAGCCTGGGACGTGGAACGACTACCGGTATAGGACGACAGTAGAACGCATGCCTGCCTGTCTTGCCTGTCTGTCTGCCGGTGCCTCAGGTGACTCCTTTCCTGTTGGAGCGGGTGCGGGAGCTGACGGGCGGCCGCTCCCTGGAGGCCAACATAAAGCTGGTCAAGAACAACGCGCGGGTGGGCAGCGCCATCGCGCGGGAGTACGCGGCGCAGCTGCGGAGACAGGACCGGATGCAGGAGCAGCAGCAGCAGGCGCAACAACAACGGGGAGGGGGGCGAGGAGGAGGCAGAGTGGCGGGTGCGGCTCCACCGCTGCTGCGAAGCAGGCTGTAGCGGCAGCTATAGCGGGGCCGGTTGGAGGCGGGCGAGTGGAAAAAGAGACGAACCGCGACAAAGGAAGGGAGGCGAGGCGACGTGAGGCGGTGCGAGGTTACCGGTAGCTGCATGTGTGGTGTGTGGCGCTGGCGTCGCGCTTGGTGAGAAGCAGGAGGCGGGCTTTCGTTGGCGGTTAGTGAGGCAGGGGGCAGGGGCGGGAGGCAGGGGTTTATGGAATGTTGAGATCGCGGGGTAAATGGAATGTACCGGTACGGTAGTCCGCAACCTACACCGCCCCCCGTGCGCGACATGCTGTACACTACAGGAGCCGGAACGATACATCATGAATCCCCCACCCTTGTTCCTACTGTTGCACGCCCACCTGTTTCAACACCCTGCACGCGGCAAAACTCACCCGCGACCCGCAGCCTCCGGCGCACTCTCGCGCGCTGCCATACTGGCGGCACGCGATGCCGTATCCTGCAATGGAGTATTTGCTTGTCAACGTTTGTGTCATCAAGTGGCCCAGCGACCCGAAAGACACAGCGGACGTGCCCGAGTGGTTAAGGGGTCTGACTCGAAATCAGATGGGATCTCCCGCATAGGTTCGAATCCTGTCGTCCGCGTTTTTGCCCGCTAATCATTTGTAATACTGCTCATTTTGACTGATCATACATTGACGGTAAGCATCTAGGCGTCACAATGAGATTGGACGCGACATACAGCCTGGCAGACTGAACAGGTCTTAAGTGGGGCCCGTGTGAGGCAGGTGTTGATGCGGTTGGCTCGATGGGCCCAGGTGCACTGTGTGTGGCCATTACCAGCGTGCCACCCTCAGTGGCCTCTTGCTACCGCTCGCATCAATTGTGTGTGCGCATGTGGCGAGCAGGTCCTTGTTGGTAAGCGCCCTGCGCCATCTGGGCCATTCGCATTTCTGGTTTCCTCACCTCATGCATGAGCGAGTCGGCCTTTCCGATTGTTTTCTCCCCTAACGGCGCCTCACTGGAACACTGGGTTTCGAGATAGGTGCTCCGAATGGCCGTTTCTTGGGGGTGCGGATTTTTCCTCGGGATACGTAAGAGCCACATGCATACCCACTTTGCCATCCCACATGGCATGCCAACTATGAGCTTTTCGGCTGTGACAGTGTCCCGTGCTGTATGCACTGGCGATTCTCTGGGCCCAACATAAACTGACGCATTCATTCATGCCGTATCAACGTCGGAAAATACCAGAAATATGCAACGAAAGCCTCAAGCTGTACCTTTCTCAACACTCTTGCAGCCGTCAGCTCGAGGAAAGGCAAAATAAATCTGGCGCCGTGAATCACGGACGCCAGGGGTCTCTGTACCAGGCCGTACTATGTACGGCTTCTCAGGTAGGCCAGGAAGCAAGTAACCTCGCGCCCCATCCCTTGACACAAGCAATAGTGTTGTTTACCAGAAGCTCGATCGATGGAGTTGCTGGGCTACCATAAGGGTACGGTATCAGGAGCATGCGGCGGCCAATTCCAGGTCCCACACAGCCTTCCAGGTCAGGTCATAAGGTCAGGGTCAGGTCATACGGTCAGATCAGGTCAGGTCATGGTCAGGTCATATATGGTCAGGGCAGTATACCGGAGTATACCAATATACTGGAGTACCCCAATATACCAGACTATATGGGTATACCGGAGTATACCAGTATACCGGGATTTACCAGTATACCGGAGTACCCCAGTATACCGGAGTACCCCAGTATACCGGAGTATAACAGTATACCGTAGTATACCAGAGTATACCGGAGTATCCAGTATACCGGAGTACCCCAGTATACCGGAGTATACCAGTATACCGGAGTACCCCAGTATACCGGAGTATACCAGTATACCGGAGTCTACCAGTATACCGGAGTACCCCAGCATACCGAAGTATACCAGTTTACCGGAGTATGCCAGTATACCGGAGTACCCCAGTATACCATAGTATACCAGTATACCGTAGTATACCAGTATACCGGAGTATACCAGTATACTGGAGTATACCCGTATACCGGGGTATACCAGTATACCGGAGTACCCCAGTATACCGGAGTATACCCGTTCACCGGGGTATACCAGTATACCGGAGTATAACAGTATACCGTAGTATACCAGAGTATACCGGAGTACCCCAGTATACCGGAGTATACCAGTATACCGGAGTATACCAGTATACCGGAGTACCCCAGTATACCGGAGTATACCAGTATACCAGAGTATACCAGAGTATACCGGGGTATACCAGTATACCGGAGTATACCAGTATACCGGAGTATACCAGTATACCAGAGTATACCAGTATACCAGAGTATACCAGTATACCAGAGTATACCCGTATACCGGAGTATACCAGTATACCGGAGTACCCCAGTATACCGGAGTATACCAGTATACCGGAGTATACCGGTATACCGTAGTTTACCAGTATACCGGAGTACCCCACTATACCGGAGTATGTACCCCAGTATACCAGAGTATACCCGTATACCGGGGTATACCAGTAAACCGGAGTATACCAAAATACCGGAGTATACCAGTATACCGGAGTATACCAGTATACTGGAGTACCCCAGTGTACCGGAGTATACCAGTATACCGGAGTATACCAGTATACCGGAGTACCCCAGTACATCGGAGTATACCAGTATACCGGAGTATACCAGTATACAGGAGTATACCAGTATACAGGAGTACCCCAGTATACCGGAGTATACCGGTATACCGGAGTACCCCAGTATACCGGAGTACCCCAGTATACCGGAGTATACCAGTATATCGGAGTATACCGGCATACCGTAGTATACCAGTATACCGGATTAACCAGTATACCGGAGTATACCAGTATACCGGAGTATACCAGTATACCGGAGTATACCAGTATACCGGGGTATACCAGTATACCGGAGTACCCCAGTATACCAGAGTATTTCAGTATATCGGAGTATACCGGCATAACCTAGTATACCAGTATACCGGAGTAACCAGTATACCGGAGTACCCCAGTATACCGGAGTATACCAGTATACCGGAGTACCCCAGTACTCCGGAGTATACCGGTATACAGGAGTACCTGACCATATGACCTGACCTGACCTTATGACCTGACCTGACCATGTGACCTGACCTGACCATGTGACCTGACCTGACCATATGACCTGACCTGACCGTATGACCTGACCGGCTGTGCAGTGCAGCCACTTAAGCGAGCTTGTAGCTTCACTACACAAAGCCAGCATTGTAAACAATAAACAGCAGATCATGAATGCTCTCAACAAATATTTCTTTGTACGGTATGGCATGATTTGCACCCCCTCACCCGCCTGGTTCGTGCGCTGGTGCCCAAGATGTAACAGTGGTGGCTGCAATGCGCTCCAAACCCAAGTGCAGCGGGTTCAGGACATTACAACCAGTGTTTGTCATTTAGCCATAAGCGCATGTAGGATGGCGCTGCATCACGCTTGGTCCGGGCAGGAGATGGTGTTCCGCGTGGGTAGCGGAGGCACACCAGGAAGGTACCCGCATTAGAAGGAGACACAAGGGACAAGCGCCGACCAGGGCCTGTTCATTAATCCCCACATGACCGAAAATGATCTCCACCAAATGCTGTTCTTGTCGCCACCGTCGTGCACCCTCACGCAACTCACACCCATTCCAGTTTCTCAAAAGACGGAAACTGGACAAAGCTCATCACGCAGGGGAGGACCCAGCAGCGCAGGTGGTGCCACGCGCCTGGGTGTCGGGCACCGCAGGCGCCTCCACAACTTGCCGCACTTCCATACAAAAACGACAACACCCCTAAAACCAGCCCCCAACACAATGCCGGAACGTACGGGCGCAGCTCTCACCCCAAGGGAAACCAAATTTGGCCCACCTCCCAAGGGCCGTACTTCACCACACACGCTTCAGATTCCCCTTCTCGCCTCATCCTCTTGGCAATGCCGAGCCTCGTTCCTTGTTTTTGCCCTGTCGCGCACTCACCACCCCCACACGTTACATCCCACCGCACTTCAACCACTCCTTCGCCCCTGGTCGCCACAGTCTGCAGGGCTCAAACCTCAACGAAACGTCACGGGCTGTCACTCTCTGGAGGAGTCCTGATCTCGACCCCGATCCCCGCCGCGGCCAGCCCCGGCCGCCGAGGCCCGCTGTGACCTCTGCTGCTGCCGCTCCTCCTCCACCTGCTGCTGCTGCAGCGCGCCCATGGCTAGCATGTCCCGCTGCCGCAGCGCCTTGCGAAGGCCGCGGTTCTCGCCCTCCAGCGTCGTCTCCGCCGCCTCCAGCGCCGACAGCCGCTCCTTGGCCACCGCCAGATCGGCTGACAGGTTGCGGCTGCGCTGCTCCTCCAGGGATACACGCTCGGCTGCTTCCTGCGCGGAGGAGGAGGCACCGGACGGGAGGGGGCGGGGCCGGGGCTTAGGAGTTGGCGCTCGCGGCGCAGTGCCTGGCGACGTTGGGGCACAGGCAGCGATGTGCCCAATTAGCAGTCACCAATGTGGCGCATGCCTGAACCGGTCAATACCAATACCCACTCAACATCAATCTGAGAGGCAGCGGTGGCCTAGAAGCGCGCCCGCTGAGCGCCATGCCCACTCTGCCACCGCCGCCTGCCGACCCGGACGGTGTTGCTCCTTCACCCCATCGCCCGCAGCCAGCCATCAGCCCACACCCGCACCCAGCCATCCTGCTCGAACCCTACCCTCCCACCCGCTCACCCACGCACGACCCACCCTGGCCGCAGCCTCACTCTCCGCCCTGAGCGCATCGAACGCGTCCGCCTCGTTGCCCAGCTGCTCCTGCAGCAGGCTGACGCTCTCCTCCAGCGCCGCCACCGCCGCGGAGCTGCTGACGCGCACCGCCGCCAGCTGGTCGGCCCAGGCGGCGTTGGCCTGACGCAGAACGTCGGAGCTGCCCTCCTCCAGATCGGACACTTGGAGCTGCGGGAAGGAGAGGAAGGGGCGGGAGGGGGGAGAGGGAGGGAGACGGGAAGTGGGGGCGGGGAGGAAGGGGAAAAGAGGAAACGGAACGGCGGGAAGGAAGGGGCCGTGAAATGGTGCTCGGGGGAACAGCAGACATCGCCCGTCATTCGCGAGGCTGAACGGCTGAGGGAGGGTCGAAGAGGGGTGAGGGCGCCGCACGACTGTTCCAGGGCTGCACGCAAAACCAAGCCTGGGGCTGAGCGGCGCAAACGCGCAAGTAGGAAAGCCCGCCGGCACGACAATGAGGTTCCATCCAAACTACCTGGCACAGCGACGAAACTGCGCCGCTCGTGCACGCACCCAAACCGCGTGCAACCGCCGCCGGCCATCCATCCCTGCCGCCCCCGCCGAGCTCACCCGCACCGCCGCCACCTCCTCCCGCACCCCCGCCATAACGGAGTCCAGCACCGCCGCCGCCGCCTCCCCCGCGGCTCGCCGACACGACTCCAGCGCCTGGCCGCTGTCCGCCAGGAAGCGAGAAGCCTGGGCCTGCAAGGGCAGGGTCGTATCGTATCTAGGCACCTGAGGCGTGGCTGATCGGCAGGCCTGCCAGAGTCTTTCATGCCACAGTTTACGTGACAGCCTGCTGCCCGTACACCGATCCGAACTACACCGCTACTGGACCTGCCAA